TAAAACAGCAAACTCCAGCAGCCCTAATAACCACTATATGCCACACGCCATACATAAGACAACACGTGCAAAAAGCTCTAAACATAGCATCCAACACATAGTAGGATATTAAGGTTATTTTTTTGTTTTTGAGACGGAGTCTTGCTCTGTCACCCAGGTGGAGCGCTGTGGTGCAATGCCGGCTCACTGTAAACTCCACCCCCTGGGTTCACACCATTCTCCTGCCTCAGCCTCCCGAGTAGCTGGGACTACAGGCACCCGCCGCCACGCCCAGCTAATTTTTTGTATTTTTAGTAGAGATGGGGTCTCACAGTGTTAGCCAGAATGGTCTCAACCCCATGACCTCGTGATCCGCCTGCCTCAGCCTCCCAAAGTGCTAGGATTACAGGCATGAACCACCGTGCCTGGCCAGGACATTAAGTTTTTATTCTCCACATCCCCAACCATTCTACATCCTACTGAATTTTTTTTTTTTTTTTTTTGAGATGGAGTTTTGCTCGTCACCCAGGCTAGAGTGCAGTGGCGCGATCTCAGTTCACTGCAACCTCCGTGCCTCCCAGGTTCAAGTGATTCTCCTGCCTCAGCCTCCCAAGTAGCTGGGATTACAGACACCTGCTACCACGCCCAGCTAATTTTTAGATTTTTAGTAGATACGGGGTTTCACCATGTTGGCCAGGCTGGTCTCAAACTCCTGACCTCAGGTAATCCACCTGCCTCAGCCGCCCTAAGTGTTGGGATTATGGGCGTGAGCCACTGCACCCGGCCCCCACTTAATTTTTAAAATATTTAAGTCAAATATCCAATTAGTTCTTGAGAATTACTGGTCTATTAACCTCGAATTTCCATCTTATGCACAAAATACTTTAATTTACTAATACAAGTCTATACATACATATATTTCCCCAAATCAAAAAGGAACCACTTTTCACTGTAGAGAGAACTACTCATAGAAACTATGTTATTCTCTATTACCTTAATTTCTTTCAAGACACTATTTAATAAGGGTTAACAAATGTCATAGTCAAAACAGGTCACTACTGAAAACATAATGTTCCACTTTTACATACTCCTAAAGGTGACAGATGCAGCGAACTTTTGTCTTTTCTATACATGATTATTAGACTTTAAAGGACATGTCAAATGACAGAGCCATTCATCCATTCATTTACCAACCATGTCTATATTACAGAAGTGACTGTAAAAACACAGTTTTCAATGGCACAATGTGTACAAACAAATGGTTACCACTATTTTGGAACTGCACACTAAAAAAATAGACAACACAGTTATAGTTATGCAACTAATAAACAGGAGTAAGCTCAAACAAGTACTCAAACAGAACAAGACTACTCAACACAAAGTGTACTGTAATCACACTTGTAGCAGACGAATATGTTCAGTAACCTATTGACTGTAAGCTCCATGAGAGTAGGAACTGTATCTGCCTTGCTCATTACTCATCTTTCCTGTATTCCAGTAGCTAGACCTGTGAGTGCTAGCCCTAAAAATATTGAACAGTCAAGTGAAGAAAATGAGAAATTTTGTCAAGTTTTAAAAATGGTAACAATATATTCTACTACTAAATGACTGCTATTTAAAATTAAGACTCATTCGCAAATTCAACAATTCAGTAACATACAAAACACAAATGAAAGCTCAGAAGAGGGTAGGAGGCATACATTGTCTTCATTCAAACCTGTGTTACGGAATGTAGGACAAAAACATCTTATCTTTGTGATGACTGTCCCCAATTAAACTGTGAAAAACTTGGCAAGGAACGTAGCATATGGAGGTCTTTATAGCTTTCACATCTAAAGTGGGCCAACCATGATTGTAAAAGCTGGATTAAATTTACACAATTTTGTTTCTAAACAAAATGACTTCGGATATCTAAAATTTACACAAAAAAAGATATCACATGGCTGCCAATTTCTATGAAATTTTATAGTCTACATAGATTTTCATTAGTTAAGCTACCCAATACAATTTATACCATTAATCTAATCATAAGTAAAAAATCAGTCAAATCATAAATCTGCAAAAAAGCTCACATCCAAATTATTCTCAAAGTACTTAACATTTCCAGTTCACTCTAAAGCAATGTCCAAGAGTCATGTCCAATGTACTAAAAATGACAGCTGACAGGAAAAAAATTTTTTTAATGCAAAGAAAAAAGCATTTTAGCTCTAACAATAAATATCTGTATCCTAATGATTTTGTTTTGTAAATGCCTCAGTGGCTTCGTTAGGCCAGTTATAATTTCTCATTTTTTCTGGTGATAATTTCTAAAATAATAAAATTACCCTGCAACTATTTTTAAGGATTTCAAGTCAATTTGCTGGTAATAGCAGTTCAGAAAATTTATTAAGTTCATCTTCTGAATGTACATTCTCTGGTAGTCTATTTTATGTCCTCAGAGGTCGTTTAACACTACATGTATCTTGATCAATGTGTCTTGTCACTCCTTTTAAAGAAAATACTTAAGTCAAAAATCTCAATTATGGGTCACTATTTGAGGTAGTAATAATAAACAACCCTGTGTCTATCCAAACAGGGAAAGCATTATATATATGAACCATCCATTTCACTCAGGGAACTCAGTATTCAACATACTGTTCTCTAGATTATGACAGTTACTGTCTAATCATTAGTGGTTAAGTACCACCTTCAATACTGTACTAAGAGCTTTACATGTATCATTTCAATCATCCAAACTATGCTATGAAGTTCAACATGCCCATTTCTCAGTTGAAACTGGGACAAGTAGCCTTTGAGTTGGCCCAAGGTTACAGGATTAACGAATGGATCAAGCTGCTGGGATTCAAATTCAAGTGATCAGGCTCCCTATCTTGTATCCTGAAATATACGACGTGCGTGTGTGTGGTAATATTAGACGTACAATATCCAATCATGTCAAGAGCTGGAAAAATGACTGTTTCCTCATTTTATAGACCATAAATCATACATAACACTTAGGCACAGGAAGTTGGCTATAAAAGAACAAAGAATTTGGTTCTAATACTGCTCTTTCTACCCTCATATCCTTTCTCAAATCTCTTAATTTTTTCTGATTTTAATCTTCTTCTAGAGATAACAGGGCCAAGAGTTGTAACGCCCTTTGTTTTATAAAGGTTAACAGCAGTAGCAATAGAGGCTCTTTCACACATTAAGAAATGTGTAATTTTGCTTATTTAATGGATTTCCATTAAATGCCTGTCAGAAAAACAGCTGAGTTGATTACTGATCATACTAGGTTTCCCTATTGACAAACTAATTATAGATGTATTTTACGAGACTGAAGAGCACAGATTTAGAAGGGCACTTGGAGATTTATAATTTAAATGAGGAAACTGACAGTAACGTAGAATGTGAACTGGAATTCAAATTTCCTGACTCTTAGCCATACTATCATCAAATATTTTTTATTAGTAGCATCACATAAAACATACTCAAAATTTTTTTTTTTTTTTGAGATGGAGTCCCGCACTGTTGCCCGGGCTGGAGTGCAGTGGCGCGATCTCAGCTCACTGCAACCTCCACCTTCTGGGTTCAAGTGATTCTCCTGCCTCAGCCTCCTGAGTAACTGGGATTTCAGGAGCCCGCCACCAGGCCCGGCTAATTTTTTGTATTTTTAGGAGAGACGGGGTTTTACCACGTTGGCCAGGCTGGTCTCAAACTCCTGACCTCGTGATTCGCCCACCTTGGCTTCTCAAAGTGCTGGGATTACAGACATGATCCACCACGCCTGGCCCACACTCAAGATTTGAAGGTTATATTTATAAAGGCAGTCAGCATAGATATATAATTTAAATCATCAAACAGCTTTGTTCCTTAATCAAAAGAACATCTTCATCAGTTAGTTTTACCAATTTGGTGTTAAGACAGATCTTTTTGTATTATGTATATATGAATCGCAAAAAATATTATCGTATATACGTAAATTTTAAAAAGCTAAACTTAAAAGATGGACCATTCCTATCAAAACATACAAATGGGGCTGGGCATGGTGGCTCATGCCTATAATCCCGGCACTTTGGGAGGCCAAGAAGGGCAGATCACCTCAGGTCAGGAGTTCGAGACCAGCCTGGCCAACATGATGAAATCCCGTCTCTAAAAAGAATACAAAAATTAGCTGGGCACGGTGGCGCACGCCTGTAACCGAGCTACTCGGAGGAGGCTGAGGAAGGAGAATCCTTTGAACCTAGGAGGCGGAGGCTGCAGTGAGCCGGGATTGCAACACTGCATGCCAGCCTGGACGACAGAGGCTCTGCCTCCAGAAAAAAAAAAAACAAAACAAATGGGTAGTATGAGGTATAAATAAACAATTGTCTGATTTAAAGTAACTAATTCATGGAAGATGACGAAATAATTAGCAAGAGGCGGCTAGGGATCTGAAATTTTCTCTGAATTCATAGCTGATGTCTAATGATTGTAATACAACCACTCTCCATCCATTTCTTCTTCACAGTAAGGTCTTTTTTTTAAATCACTTTTCTTCAGTCTAAAAAAAATTACCACAGACAATACTTTAGGAGTGGGTACTTCATCTCTAAATCAACAAGGTTGAACATAGCGTACAATTAGAAATGAATATGTTGGCAGGAATCAAGAGAGTACAAATACGAAACAATGTTTTTTGCACTGAGGATAGGTCAAAGTAAATTTTACCTCGATTACTTTGCTATTATGTATGGAGAGACCTATTGTTCTCAGAACCCACTCATCCATATACAACTAATGAAATACCACGGAAATTTCCTTAAGAATGAGACTTGGCTCCAATGGCTTCCAACACGCAAGTGCAAATTTTGTGTGGGAAGATGGAGGTTAGCAGAATTAGCCATTACTTCTGGACTAAACCAGTAAGGAAACTTAGTGCATGAGAGCAATTAATTTTTGAGACTCCCTTGGACCCTACAAAAACATTAACCAATAAACATTTTCCAGATAGTCAATCATCACTACTCCATTTCCCAAGAACTTTGGAGGGAAAAATTACATCAAATGCAATTACCAATTTTAATTTACTTTTTATGACTTACTAGATTTAAAGGCGGCGATAGTGAAACATCTACCAACAAAATGCAATTCTACAATTTGGTTAAATATAAGAATCATGCCTCAGCCAATAAATAACATAACATACATCAAAAACAGTAAAATGTATACCTTTCCAGTCAAAGAGGCACTTAATCTGTCAGTACCAATCAAATGTTGATAGTGAACATAATCTCTGAATGTCAAAATTCCCCAAGGACGAAAACATGTTAAGTATTTCTATATTTAATAGGGGGATAAAAACAGTTTTTGTTACTAACAGGTCAGATCAAAAGCAGCTAACTTAAAACCTTAGATTATTCAAACTGGGTAGCAAGATTTTTCTTTTTTATAGTAGTAAAAGTACTCTACACCTATCTTCAAATTCCAGCTCCACCACTTATTAGTTGTGTCATCTGGGGCAAGTTACCTAACTTCTCAGTACTTTAGTCTCATCTGTAAAATGGGAATAGTACCTACCACAAAACACTGTTGAGATTTAGTCAATGTATGTAAATTGCTTAGAACAATGCCCACAACTTATTAGGCACTATACAAGTGTTTGCCAATATTATTACTCAATTACAGTGGCAGTTATTTTGGATGTCATACTATTGGCAAGACCAAAGAAAGAACTTTGAGTCAACAAGTTATACTTCCATAGTAATAACCTTTAAGTTATTAAAATATTTAAGTACTAATCTTAAATTTCACTGGAAAAGCAGTCACAAGAAAAGGTCTGCCGTATTAAAACATGAATGCAACAGAACCTTTGATACTGAAAAGTTCAAGCAGACATACCTACTGAAAACCATCTAATATTCTTGATTAAAAGACTCAGATGACCACAACTAGTAATACCTAGCCGAATCCTATACAAAGTGATATCTTTACCTTTAGAGCCTTCCAAGAGATGGCGTTGCGATGAAGAGTATGAAGAGTAAAACTAGCAGCACCTGTACTGTTTATGATGAATTTTTTTTTAAATAAAGTTGAATTTATGTATTGAATTCTATCACCAACTACTAACTTCTCTCAGCTTGAACAAGATAAAATTCACGGTGGTAAAATAGCTGCTTATTTAATTTTTTAAAGTTCCATTTAAATTGCTATTTTAGCTATTTTACTATTTGAACAGCTGGTGTTCAGGGTATAAATAATTACACAAGTTAAAAATTGCTCATTTTCACTAATCATGAAAAAGCCCACTGCGATATATTTTCCTCACAACTTTTGTCTCTCAAGTAAAAATGGAAAATACAAGTTTTACCCAAGAGGTACAAGACTATGGGGGACAACAGCAAGGTTTGTATTTCCTAATCCCTCAATTATTTCCACTTTTAGTGTGTTCAACTGAAGTCTATTTTACAACAATCTCTGGGTTTTATTTAAAAAACACACAAACACAGTGCCTTTCCAGTTCCTACTGCCTTCCCACATTTCAAACAAAATTTTAAGTTTCTAGGCCAATTTTCTGGTCCTAACAGTTAAAAAAATATATATATCGTGGTTTGTCCATATTCTTAGGCACTTAAACCTTAAAAAAAAAAAAAAGACTCCAACCGACTTTTATCAAGCTGTGAAGAAAAAAATAGTTCCACCTCCTACCTCATAACCAGAGCCCATTTGAATGTACTTCCAACCTATTCTCTACCAACTGATTACACTGGGAACTTTTCTCATATAGACTATAATCATACATCTCAAATCTTAACTAAATACACCAAAAAAACTGACAGTCTTGACCTTTAAAAGTATCTTTCTGAACCCTAAACTACATTAACTCAAAAGATATTTCTAGAAACATTCCTCATGCTAACTTCCAAAGGTTAACTTCATCTTTGTCAACACGGTTTCTCACACCAAGTATTTTCTTGGCTTTGCCATTCAAACAGAAATGAACTTTATTTGTACTTTCCCAATAGAAGGCTCAAACAATTCCAGTAGTGCAAATGGAACTGGTGATGCTTATGGAAAGTCAGTGTAAGGCTACAGCCAAGATTCTATAATCAAATAAATGGAAAAGCTTTCTATACGGGAAAAAACCAAATCCTATTATTTTCCAAAGTAAATAATGAAAACCTAACCACACAGTAGGGCAAAAAGGAAGTTGTCTAAATCCAGAATATCCAAAATTTACTGGACAGTTAAAAAATTATACCCCAATAACAAAAAACAATACTAATTTTTATGTCCATTAGGAATTCTGACTCCATATTAACAATATGGCATTAAGATTTTTTAAAGGCACAAGTAATTAATGTAACTGTTTCCATATGGGTTCCAAAAACTAAGACTAGACTTTTTTCTAATCTGAAGTTCTACCATCTAGAAGACCAACTTGGTGACTCTTGAGGATAAGGTAACTTCTCATTATCTTTTTCCATTGGGAAATTACTGCGCCAAGAACCTACCTTGCCATTCTTTTCAAATATAAGAAAAACAATACTAAATTCAAATTTAAAGAGAGAGAGACCTATTTAACGCTTCAAAAACAAGGGGGAAAAAACTAAATGGAAATGAAGTGTGATGGAAAATAGCAGTGTGCATGGATCACATCTACTAATAGAGATTTCTAAATAAGGGAGGACGCTGACATCAAGCACATTTCAAGTAGACACACAGAGCTGAAGAATTTCCACGGGGAGAAGCACTCATGGTCCTCAGAACATTGGCAATGGCCTTGGAGAAAGCCCCAGAATCCATGGCCACGGGCTATTTCCATAGCGAGACTTCTCAGAAGCATCCTTAGGAGGACACAACAGCTTCTCTGCCTTCGGGGGCTGGGAGGGAGGGGCGCCGAGCACCATCTTTCCTCTCTGGGAGCTGCAGCCTTACGGACAAGCTTCAAACCTGAGCTACTTCCAACTTCCGCGGGGAGGGGCAGCAGGGGAGCGTGGTTCCACCGCTTTCTCTCGCACCAAGCGCGGCAGCTGGGCGGCCGTGGCGGTGAGGGGAGAGGCGGCCGGCGCTGCATGCGTGTTTACGTATCTCAGATGGGTGTGGGAAGAGAAGATAGAAAGGTTCTAATGAAAAGATGGAGGGGAGAGAGAGAGGGGGTTGAGAAGAAGGGGAGGCACCACCTTTCTTTTCTCTGCTCTTCCTGGGGATCTGAAAACTCCTCCTAAGAGGCCTTTCGGGCTCTTCGGGGCCTCTGAGCAGGGCGGCCGCGCCCGCCTCAGAGGAGTCCTGAGGCTGCTCGTGGCTGAAGCTCTGGGCGGCCTCGGCCCCCGCGGTCTCCTCAGGCCCAGCGCCGCCGCCGGGCTCAGCGATGTTGAGGCCGCCGCCGCCGCCATTTTGTGGGGAGGACTCAAGCTCCGGAAGCGCCTGCTTCATCTCGTCGTCTCCGCCGCCGCCACTTTCACAGCTCGCATCCGTCGGCTGCGAGGCCTCCGTCTCCACAGCAGTCGCCATCGCGCCGGCGTAAGGAGCTCTGGAAAGCTTCTGCCCACAAGGTCGACGGGTGTGGGGGGAAGGGGCGGCGGGCCAGCCTCGCCGCCGAACTGCTCTCAGCCCACCCACCCCCTTCCCCCCGTGGTCTCAGGCTGCACTCCGACCCGGCAGCCTCTTGGGGGCCCCGAAGCGGGCACCCCAACTGTGCCGCCCGGCCCTCGGAGCCGCTCCTCGCTCGGGCAGTTCTTCTGCCTTCCCCCGCCACTCAACGTGCGCGCGTCGGGGCCGGGAGGGGGCGGGGCCACCGCGGGCCACTCTACCAATGGGAGCGCGGCACCCGCCTCCGCGAGTGCGGATATGCCGCGCCGGGGGGCGGAGTTTTGAGGCGCCCGAGCCCGCCAAAAGGGGCGACTGCCACGCCCGGCGAGGGCCTCGACGCCGCAGCCGTGGCCTGCAGAATGTGTGGGCCCCTGGCGATTCTCGGGTTCCTGGCAATGCCGCGCTGGCGATTCTCGGGTTTCCGGGGATCCCCCGCCGCGCTGCAGGCGAGGGAGACGGGCTTGGCCTTGTCTCCGGAGCGCAGGGGTGGCCCATTTGTGGGCAAGAACTTTCCTCAGTGTACGAGGTATCTCGGCCCAAACGGGCTTCAGCGCATGGATGCGGGACGATCTCGGCTTTATGAACTATTTGCATGTGTACAGAGACCTGGAGAGGAAATAAGAGAATGGGCTACGCAATAATAGCCTAAAAGCGTCCGGCCTCTGCGACCTGCTGTTCTCACCGGATCTTGTATCTTTACGATAGATGACGCGCACCCGGCCTTCTCTTTTATCTCAGAGGGTGTGACCCAGTGTCACAGCGCCAGCAAGCACTTTAACCTGAGATCCTCTGATGGTACTTAACAACCTAGTGTTAACAGGATTTGGTTCTGGGGAGTTTGAGAGGAGGAGGCTGTTAACTTTTACCATTTTTCTTTGGTCGCACCCCCCCTCCACGTTTTCCTATATTAAATGTATATTAAAGAAAAAATAAACTTGCGGTTACATTAAAAAATATACAGCAGTGGTCGTTGTCCCATAAAGGGAATAACTTCATAGTGAAGAACCGTTTGCATAGTAATTTCTACCTTGTCAGTATAAACTATCATGGGTTATCGTGAGTACAGCCAATATTTACTGAGTGCTTTCTATGTGCTAGACACTGACTGGACAAGTGATTTACGTGCATTATCTCCATTTAATCTTCACAGCAACGGATATGAGGGAGATACTGTTTTGCACAATTTAAAATAAGCGTTGCAAGACGGGACAAATTATGGTAACAAAACCAAGATTTGAAACCAGGTCTATTTAACTCTCCCAGTAAGTACTTAAGCACTGCACTGACTGCTTCTCTAAGACCTAATTTTCACAGCAGCTGTGCACTTTTTTTCATTTCATGCACGAAGCGACAGAGGGCTGACATTTTGCTGAGGGTCGCCAAGCAGCAGGATCAGGTTTGAGACCCAGATCTCTAATCCCAAACTACCTCCCAAGGAGTTTACAGACCAAATTATTCATAATAAAGCCTCAGGCTTAAAGAGCATTCCCAAGGGCAACACGAAAGTTGGATTCCTTTGTCCTCTAATAAATATTACCACTGTTTAACAGCTGATATTTAAAAAAATCATGAATTGCCAACCTATTGGAATCAATTTAGTAAATCATACGAAAGAGTGTAAATCCATTATTAGTAAATAGTTTAAAAACACATTTTAGGCCAGGCGCAGTGGCTCATGTCTGTAATCCCAGCACTTTGGGAGGCCGAGGCGGGCGGGTCACCTGAGGTCAGGGGTTCCAGATCAGTCTGGCCAACAGTGAAACCCCATCTCTACTAAAAATACAAAAATTAGCCGGGCATGGTAGCACATGCCTGTAATCCCAGCTACTCAGGAGGCTGAGGCATGATAATCACTTGAACCCGGGAGGCGGAAGTTGCACTGACCTGAGATGGCACCATTGCACTCCACCCTGGGCTGAGACTTTGTCTCAAAACATACACACACATTTTAAAATATGTTTAAATGAAAAACTGAGGTCTAGGTTGAGGGAAAAATGCTACATTATTTTAAGTAAATTTTTTTTAATTGGGGGAGGCGCTTTACTTGATTTAAAAAAGTACAGAAGATCAGAAATTCACATTGCAGTCCCAAATTGGTAACTCGCTTTTTTGTTGATTATTGAAGGTATACCTAAAAGCTCATTTTTATCAAATTCAAAACTAAGAACTAATTGCAGCCAGGTGTGGCTCACGTCAAACTCCCACTTTGGGAGGTACTTGAGCCCAGGAATTCAAGACCAGCCTGGGCAATACAGTGAGACCCTGTCTCTATTAAAACAAACAAAACAACTAATTGCATACTAATGCCACCACTCATCCACTCAAGAAAAGGCAACTCTACTTGGAAGCTCCTAGGCTATGCATAAAGCACCACAGGTTGTCAGTAAAGAGTACCTAAAACTAAGGCTAGACAGAATCATTAGCCCTCCACAGAGGTTGAATCTTAAATTTTGTGAAGATAAAAATTGCTTCCCATTCCAAATCAACATTTATTAAAAAAAAAAAAAAAAGTTTAGTGAAATTTGGCTGGGTGTGGTGACTGACACCTGTCATCCCAGCACTTTGGGAGTCAAGGGTGGAGGATCACTTGAGCCTAGGAGTTCAAGACCAGCCTTCACAATATGGTGAGACTCTGTCTCTGTTTTTAAAAACAATAATAATAATCCCAGCACTTTGGGAGGCTGAGGCAGGTGGACTTGAGGTCAGGAGTTTGAGATCAGCCTGGCCACCATGGTAAAACCCTGTCTCTACTAAAAATACAAAAGTTAAGGCCGGGGGCAGTGGCTCACGCTTGTAATCCCAGCACTTTGAGAGGCCGAGGCCGGCAGATCACGAGGTCAGGAGTTCGAGACCAGCCTGGCCAACACAGTGAAACCCCGTCTCTACTAAAAATACAAAAATTAGCTGGGCATGGGGGCGGGTACCTGTAATCCCAACTACTCAGGAGGCTGAGGCAGGAGAATCGCTTAAACTCAGGAGGCAGAGGTTGCAGTGAGCTGAGATCGTGCCACTGCACTCCAGCCTGGGCAACAGAGCTAGACTCCATCTCAAAAAAATAAATAAATAATTAGCTGGACATGGTGGTACATGCCTATAATCCCAGGTACTCAGGAGGCTAAGGCAGGAGAATCACTTGAACCTGGGAGGTGGAGGTTGCAGTGAGCCGAGATTGCGCCAGTGCACTCCAGCCTGGGTGACAGAGTGAGACTCTGTCTCAGAAATGTAAAAAAATAAAAATAGGAAAAGACAATGACCCAAGATCATATAGCAAGCGAGTAAAAAGAGTTAACATTTATTGAGTACTTTCTGTGTGTCAGACACTGTTTTTTTGTTTTGTTTTGTTTTTGAGATGGAGTTTCACTCTTGTTGTCTAGGCTGGAGTGCAATGGCATGATCTCTGCTCACCGCAACCTCCGCCTCCCGGGTTCAAGTGATTCTCCTGCCTCAGCCTCCCAAGGAGCTGGGATTACAGGCACCTACCACCATGCCCAGTTAATTTTTGTATTTTTAGTAGACACAGGGTTTCTCTGACCATGTTGGTCAGGCTGATCTCAAACTGCCGACCTCAGGTGATCCACCCACTTCGGCCTCCCAAAGTTCTGGGATTACAGGCATAAGCCACTGCGCCCAGCCCAGACACTGTTCTAAGAGTGTTACATGTGTAGTCTCATCAATCCCCAGGGAAGGTACTAATGTTATTTCCATTTACAGATGAAAAAAACTGAGGCAGAGCAGTTAATTAACTTAATGTCATTTAGAGTGTAAGTGGCAAAACCAAGATTCTAACACAGGCAGTGTGCCTCCAAAGCCCCATGCCCTTAATAACCACAATATATTAAACTTCTCTTGAAACAAAGTCCAAAACTCAGTGCGTTTTCCACTATGCCATTTCATCTCCCTTCCTCAAACGGTACTTTAAAAGACAGGATATAAATAGCATAACTCAGCAGTAACTATCAATATTACTGATGCATAACCTTTTTACCTAGCAATTCTACTTCTAGAAATGTATATGGTACAGATGTACTCATTCACATTCTAAATGTGTATTCAAGGATATTCTTTACAGTGTTGTTTATAATAGCAAAGGATTAGAAATAACTTATCTATCAATGGGGTATGTCCATACAGTGGAATACAGCCATAAAAAGGAATGAGGCACTGATGCATGCTACAACATGAATGAACCTTGAAAACATTATGCTAAGTGAAATAAGCCAGATACAAAAGCAGTATGTTATAGAGTCTGTTAATATGGAAGTTCAAAATAGGAAATTCCACAGAAACAGAAAAATGATTGGTGGTTACCAGGGACCAGAGAGAGTGGAGAATGGGGACTGACTGCTAATGAGTACAGGGTTTCTTTTTGGGGTGATGAAAATATTCTAGAATTGGATAGTGGTGGTAATTCCACAACTTTGTGGATATATTTAAAACCATTGAACTATATATTTTATTATTTATTTGAGATGGAGTCTCACTGTGTCACCCAGACTGGAATGCAGTGGTGCCATCTTGGCTAACTGCAACCTCTGCCTCCTGGGTTCAAGTGATTCTACTGCCTCAACCTCACAAGTAGCTTGGA